GTATGCTCTCCAACCTTGGAAAAAGATAGAAGCATAAAGGGTCAGAGTAAGACAGGAAGACTCTGAAAGAGAAATGACTTGACAGTGATGTCCACAATGGGTTTTAAGATGCAATGACCATGAAGATGGCATACAATAGGGCAAGGTTCAGATGTGTTCCCAGTCAATTTGAAACCACCCAAAAAGAAGAAAGCATATAGAGATCCTCTTTAATAAAATGCAACACAGTAAGATGGCAGGGGTTTTTTTGCCACTCCTACAAAAACAAGAACCCATTACTAGGAGCTCTTCCAGAGCTTCAGAAAGGGATAACCAGTTGCTGACACTCCAATCTGTGGTAACCTCTCATGTGTCAGAGAAGAATTGTGCCCTACAGGGTTTTCAAGGACTGTTTTTTTTTTGGAAGTGAAACATCGGGCCTTGCTCCTGATCATCTCAAACCACCCACCTTTCAGTTATTAATGAAACATGTTAACCAGATCCACCACTCAAGATCTCCCGAAAGGGCTCTCAAATGCACACTCATTGCCCTTAATCAGTCCAACTCATGGTGACCTTCCACTGGCTTTCTGAGGCTCTAAATCTTAGCTGAAGGAGACTATGCATCATTTTTTTCCAAGGAGACACTGGTAGATTTGAACCCACTGAGAATCCCGGTCTTTGAATTAGCAGGGCAACTCACTGCCCTGCAAATTAGTGCTGTTCTGAAGCTGCTAACTTTAGCTTCAGAGTAAACTCCCTCTACTAGATTTAAGTAGGAAATACCTAGGATATCCATTGTAGCCCCTCACACATACACAGCGCTGCACAGATCCCTCTGTGAATACACACAGCAGTCCAACAGACCATGTGTCAAATGATGCATCCTGACTTTTCAAGAAACATGAGCAATGTTACAGAATGGCAGTGTTAAAATGAAAAAAAGAAAGGGGTGAGCAAAAAATAAAAACAAAACACATCCATCTCCCCGTCAATGTGTACAAATCTGGATAAAACAAATGTTTCCTAAGATTGTTTTGTGGCCTGTCTCAAAATGAAAGCAAAAGCCAAGAACAAGAGGTGCAACCAGCAGCTGCACAGTTTCCACCTAAGAAAATGACAGGAATCTTCAAAAGGAAATCTTAATAGGACGCGCTGGTGGCTCAGTGGTAAGGAGCTGAGCTGCCAACCCAAAGGGTTCAAATCCACCAGCTGCTCCATTGGTGAATCTCCTGTGCAATTTACAGTCTCTGAAAATCCACTAGAGAGTCGCAAAGAATTGGTTCTAACTCAAAGGCACTTGATGCTACAGTAGCAATATTTATGCTGTTAAGAAAATCTTGTTTGGAATTACATACAATAAAGAGTAAGATTAGCAGGAATGGATGGACTGAGTTCAAAAGGCAGAAGGCCCTCCTAGTTTATCGTCAGCTTTCCATTCCATGGTACTCTCTCATTCTTGTCATCAATGAGTTGTCGCTGACTCAGAGCTACATAGATTCTCATAGCTGCACAGAGTTTCTGAGGGTGTAAAATTTCATGGGGGAAGAGATTGCTTATCTTTCTTCACCACTGAGCCTGAAATGTCACCGCTGGGCTAGCAGTGCAAGACCCAGAGTGGCCACTGTGACTTGGAACCAATTTAATGGTATTGAGCAACACTTCCTTTCTGAAAGGATTAAGACAAACTACCTTTTTTACATTAAAATCCAGTATAAATCCTTTACGAAAGATAAAAGTGCAAGTTTTATTTATAAGTTTGTTCCAAAGTCTCATTTGCTACATTTAGTTAAACTGATTTTACTCCTTAAAAATCCAATTGTTCTTATTTTAGTACCATGGACTTTACTCCAGTTCAAAAGACTTTTTTCATGAAAAAAGTAGAATTTCCCAAACACTAAAAAAGAAAAAAGTCTCAACATTTTAAAATTGCTATTGTCAACTACAAACATCAGTTATTCCAGGAAGATAGCACATATTTTCCTTTCCTTTAAAGAGGTAAACAAAGGAGCCCGAGGAGCTTCCGGTTCCGGTGTCATCTCGAGGCGCCGCCGCAGCAGCCTCTGGAGCCGCGATGCCTCAAGGAGAGAGGAAAAGGCGGCCACAAAGGCCGGGCCCTGCAGTACATGAGCCCAGAGGAGATCGACGCGCAGCTGCAGGCTGAGAAGCAGAAGGCCAGGAAAGAAGAGGAACATGAAGAAGGTGGAGATGGAGCTGCAAATGACCCCAAAAAGGAGAAGAAATCTCTAGACTCAGAAGAGAACGAAGAGGATGATGATGACTACCAGCAAAAACGCAAAGGTGTGGAAGGGCTCATCGACATTGAGAACCCCAACTGGGTGGCACAGACAACCAAAAAGGTCACACAGCTGTATCTGGAGGGGCCGAAGGAGCTCTCGAGTGTTACATGAAGATGCATTTAGCTGGGAAGACAGAGCAGGCCAAGGCTCACCTGGCCCGGCTGGCAATCATCCGGAAACAGCGGGAAGAAGCTGCAAGAAAGAAAGAAGAGGAACAGAAAGCAAAAGACGATGCGACTTTGTCAGGAAAACGAATGTAGTTGCTCTCCTTGAACAAGTAACAGTGGTCAAGGGGAGAGGAGATACCAGGCCCGGGCTGTGACGCCAGGACCTCCGCGTGCGGCCCGCCCAGTGCCCTGGCGCCGCTGCAGCAGTCCCTCATGGCTAGGAGCCCCCCGCGGCCTGGGGTGGCCTTTTCATCTTGGCACAGAAATCGTTTTGGGGGATGGTAGGGGTGGGGCCTGGGGGGAGGGAGCTGCTGCCATCTTTGAGACAGAAAGATGCAGGAAAGCATTTCCTATGTAACCATTTGAATGTTTTTGCTGGTTTTGGAATTCAGAGCCCTCAGGCTCCAGGGAGGTGGGGTGAGAAGAGCTTCCGTTTGTCAAGGAGACTGCACGGTGGTGGCAGTTGTGCAGGCCTGGGGTGGCTGCTGACCAGTTTATGACATCCAGCCCCAGTCTGTGTTGCCTGGGTGCTCGCTCAGGAGAGGGGTTGTGTCCTGGGTTCCCGAGGGTCCCAGCGCTTCCCTTCCTTGCCCTCCACCCACCCACACACCCACCTGACCAGGGCCCCTTTTTAATCCTACCCATCAATCAGGAAACCTTTTTATACTGTGCAGCACCCAGGCAAACATGCTCTACAAACTCAACTTGTATATTTGGTAGATTAAACTTGACATTATCTTTAAAAAAAAAAGTAAAAGATGGGGGGAACAAAAACCCCAGTTTTCTATTATAGCAATGAACTTCAATTAAGTGTGATAGAGCATCTTATTACCATACTTAGTCCTTAAATCTTATTTATGTGTACTATTTTTTTTTTTTATAATTGAATATTTAAGTCTCATGTGCCAACTTAGTTTTCCACCAACTCAGGGAGCAGAAACTTTCACAGGCATCACAGTATTTTGTTTAGGCTCTGCTTTTGTGGGAGCCTTAGTAGTAGCCACTGTGGTCCTTCTAGATGCTTATTTAGTCTTTTTTGCTTCCTTGAAAGCCCTGATAGACTGTTCTCATTGAGCCTTTCTAACTTCAGGCTTCTGATTCCTCTTGGGCATTATATCAGCAAGAGATGCACCAATGATGGCCCTTTGGAATTTGACTGTACAGTGGGTTCTTTTCTTTTGAATTTCTTCAGATTGGCCCTTTTTGTGCTTCCTTCTGTAGAGGACAGTTCAATTTATCTGTCGTGGATTCCTTTTGGAAAGGAAAGCTGACTCACATTTTGTATTAAGAAACTGGAACACCTCTGCTCACTTCCGACCGACCTCACACTTTATAGAGGCTCTTGAATGGTTTTATTGAATAGACCTCTCAGCCCCTGTACTTTTTCAGGGGCCCAGGATGACATGGGGAGGGGAGCTGTAAAACCTGCCTGGACTGAATGACATTTACCTCCCCACCTTACAAGAAGCTATCTTTAACCATCATGGCCCTTACCTTTTATGTGTACTACTTTTTTTTTAAAAAAGGAAAAAAACCAGATCAGTGGAATAAAGAATGTTTTAATAAATGGTGTTAAGACAAATAGCTATTTGTTTGGAATAAAAATAAAATTAGATCCTTACACCTTGCACCATATAGAAAAATACATATATTACGGATGGATCCAAGAGTAAAAAATAAAAATGCAAATACTCAAAATTCTACACCCAACTTTAGGGGATTCACAGACTCCCTAAAGACCATCCATGAATCTCAAGTTACTATCTAGAAGAGAAACTGTTAGTCATAATTTTCATTAAAATCTCCATGTCTAGTATTAGACATAGTCTTAAGTCACATGCAACAAATAAAAGTGAACACATTAACTCAGTGCTGTAACTTTATAAAATCTTCAAACTGGAACTAGAAACAGATACAAGCATGTCAATAAAAATGGACAATGACTAAAAAAAAACCCAACATTTTAAATAAGTATGAATGCTTACTATACAAGTGTATCCACATGTCTGTTAGCTTTTCAGAAATATAAAATCAGATAAATCTGTAGTACTTAAAATTCAGTATGTGCAATGTTATTCTCAAACTTGATTAAAATATTTAATAAATACAAGTTATGTTTAAATGAACAACTGCAACATACTTTAAACATCTAAACATGTAATAGGAATTCTATAATATTAAAATGGAATACTTTCACCTGCATTAATTTCATACACAATGGAAAAATACTTGCAGATAATTAGCCTTAGGAATGCAAATATATTTTCCCTGTGGAAGAAAAATGATAGTAACAAGGTTAGAAATAATATATTTGCATAATCTACAATGGAGTTGTAGATTGTCTACATTTTGATAATGTATTTTAAAATTAAAACAATTAAATATTTAGATTTGCAACAGATGTACTTGAGGCAAAATATTTGTATATTACAGAACAGGATCTTATGTGAAAGTAAGCAAGGCAACATTAGATCAACCACTTCAGATTTTTTTTAAATGTGTAGCTTTAAAATTGAATAAAAGTGAACATAAATTCTAACATGCTCATCTCTTCTTATAAATGGGATGATGTAGAAAAACAAAGCTTCAGTGTGTAGGGATTGGAACCATCTGTAAAAAATTTCAGAAGTTAATGTTAGAGTTTACTTCATCAAAATTTCAGATCACCTTGAATCAGCAGAGTGAATTATTTTATTTTTGTATTGATATTAGAAGAAAAGAAAAACATCCACTAAAAGGACATAAAGGTTCTGATATATGCCAAAACAGTTTGTGTAAAATTCAAGAAAATATTTCCATTTTACAATTTAAAAGAAAAAAATTTTAAAGCAGGCAGAAATAGCACTTCTTCAAATGACAACATGGGAAATCAAGGTAAAATGAAAATTCAGGTATATTAACATATCCCAATTTGAGTATAAAACCTGTAATTCCTTCAAGGGAAATAACTCTAGTAAGGAAAAACACACATTCACCAGTATATATTTAGAAGACAATGCAGAGGGCAAAATGAGAAATCATTGTGCGGATTTCCAAAAATTTACAATCCACACTATCTTGAATATATTTTAAGATTTCTGATCAAAAATCAAGCCCAACTCAAAAAGTGAACAGTGAGTCTGGTTCCCTTCCGCGTTTTCGAGGCTGTGATTTAATGGGAGCAAAGCACCACATCTTTTTTCCTGCTGAGTAACTGGCTGGGGTTGACCCATCAACCTTTAGGTTACCAGTACGCTATTTTTGTGATGTTTCAGAAAGTTAACTTCCAATTAATCAGAACAAAACCACTATACTTACTTGGAACTCTAATCTGGTAGTGATTAAGTGCTGTAAGAGCTTCTACTGCATCTGTTTTGCATTCCCATTCTAACAAACCAGAAAGCGTTTTGGCAGAAGCTGAAACAAAGAGATGCAAGTCTAGTTGTTATTTGCTTATCATCAACTAACAAGAAATTTTAAAAGTGAAAACATTCACTTACGTTTTGCATCAAACACTTTATATTTGATGAATGTAAGAACTTCATGGTCATTACACAACTGTCAAAGAAATTAAAACAATTAAAAATACTACCAAAATAATCATCTTACCTTTTTTAAAAGAAAATAAACTTTATTGCACAATCTAAATTTTGAGTCTAGAATGAATAAAAAGTTTTTTAAGTTACATCGAAGTCAATTAAAAAGAGTGAAATTTCTATACACATCTAAAACTTCTCCAACAGGGTAAAAAGGGAAGCCACAGATTGGGAGAAAATATTTAGTAATGACATGTCAGATAAGGGACTTATATCTAGAATTTATAAAATACTTGAGCACCACAAACAAGATAAAGGTAAATAACCCAATTAATAAATGGGTTAAAAAAAAAGAAAGTGAAATTCTAGAAACTATGTAAATTTAGTACTGAACAATAAAACACCAGGTTTGCAACTGAAGAGTAAATATTCTTAGAGCTGATAAGGATGTATCTAGTACCTAAGAGACAGAGTGGCATTTCAGAAAACCACTTCTTTTCTGAGATTTTTCAGTTACATAAAATTTCTTTTCATAAATTTTTGTAATAGGTAAAAATTTAGGGATACAGTAAATTAACTTTGTAAATACAGGAATAAGGGTGTCTCATTCTAAATTTCAAATAGACCTAGAAACCAACAATAACTAAAGAAAAACCAAAAAACAAAACACCCAATGAAGAATGAAAACCCAAGTAGTACAATAGTGAGATTGTACACATTCCTTCCCAAACAGTCCTAAATACATAATAATATTAATAATATCAAAAGCAGAAGACAGAAAGAGCACACAGGCATTGAACTTCTAAAGTAGGAAACAACATTATTCTCTGCATACATTTGTATTTCAGTTACTAATGCTTACCTTTGTAAAGGTCTCTTCTGTGACACACAATGGAACATTATAATAATGCAACACACAAGAAGGTGGCTGGATTATATTCTTAGATGCTTGGCCAGCACTTGTAAAGCGATTATTTTTACTCATTGCAAAATCCTTGTAGCTACTTGTACCATCTTCCAGCTCAAATATTTGACTTGGAACAACTGAATGTTGTTTAGATACGCTAAGAATGAAGAAAGAAAAAGAAACTGATCACATCTTGTGACAGATACAAAGCAGCGAATAAGCCTTAAAATGTTAACATATTTTATCTGCATCAATATAAAAAAACTGGGAGAGACTTACAATACTACTTTGACATTGTTATGTGCCATCAAGTCAGTTGCAACTCAGAGCAACACCATCTGAACCTTACTCTATCCTGTGCCAACCTCAACATCTCTGACTCACTCAGCCCCATTACCCCAAGTCACTGAGTCAACAGTATTTTGTTTTACTTATAATCAATCATTTATATAGTTTGGATATCAATGTAAAAAACCATTTTTATCTTAAAAATTAGTAACTTTCCCATTTTTAACATACTCTTAAAAAATTATAATACAAAAAACTATGTGTAGGTAGTAGGCAAAATCTGAATTATATAACCCTAATATTTTATCTGAAACGACACTAGTATAGCTGTTAGTGTTAAATTTGCTTGCAATTACACTAAAATTTTCTGAAAGCAAAATGTCTCCAATATGGATAAAGATTTAAAAATAAAATTTAAAAAGTTATCATTTAAGTATTTACCAAACATTAAGTCTTTTTCCAAATAATTTGACATTATTAAGATGAGTGACAGCTCGTTCTACAGCATATTCATCACCCATTTCTACCAGGGCTGTTCCTGGAATGGTCTTCATAAATTTTACCTGTAAATAAAAACAAAACAAACAGCTGACCATTTACAATAAAAGAATTTTTTTTAAATAGTATGGTTTAAGTAATTAAAAGTCTATTTTAATTCTGGAATCATCTGGAATCTCAACTTTATTCTGTGGTATTATATGAGTTATTATATTTATATGTGGTATTATATAGTTTAAAGAACACTGACGAAGAGCACAAGTTTTTCTTGGCTTTATTTATAGACGTGCAATTTGGGGTCATTTACTTAACTTCTCTGAGCCATAGAAAGTATCTGTAAAATGGAGGTATCTGGCAGGGCAATAATTTTTTTTTTATTTTCATTCATTCATTGTTGCATTTTTCTCCCTCAGGGCATCAATTTAAGTACCTAGTATGTTTAAATAGCATTTTGCTTGCTATGTGCTTAATACTTAATGATGAAATAGACAAAAGTCTTCTTGAAACACTTCTGCCTAATTATGAGAAGTTTCTACTGCCTTCATCTCTAGCCATCTGCTACAATATGCTATCACTTATTGAACACCCAAACAGGCCAACAGACAATGAAATGTCTTGATCCCTTAAGTCAACAGGGCTATAGAGACAACCTACCCTGACCTCCAGCAGTCACAATGACTGCTAACCCTACCCATATCTACCTAGAAGAGCCCCAAGGCATACCCGGCTCACTCAGAAAGAGATTAGCCATGCTTACAGCTCCCATATGTTGTGCCACTGAGTCGGAATTGACTCACAGATGATCCTCCAGGGGGGTTTCAGAGGCTACAAATCACTCCAGAGGAGACTGCTCATCTTTCTCCCACTAAATAGGTGGTGGATTCAAATTGCATGTCTTTGGGTTGGCAAGCAGCTCTTACCACTAAGCTACCAGAATTCCCTACCCCTCCTGCCTAAATCTATCACAACATAATAATAAAATAAAGCAAACATAGGCACTGAAGACAATTACCAAATCATATAAAGAGAGAGAATAAAACAGCTCAAGTGAACAAAATAAAGAGGCAGAAAACTTCCTGAGACAGAAAGGGCAATAGCCTTCCTGATAAGCAATGTAATCGATTACCTGATAATGAATTCAAGATTTCCACAGGATCAGCAAGGAAAACAGACAAATACAAGGGAAATGCATATAAAATGCTAGAAGAATTTGGGAGAACAAGACAAGAACAAAATGACTAAACAGACAATTAGAAACCATGTAAGAACAGCAACCAGGAATCCAGAAGGTTAACAATATCAGAAATGGATTAGCTCAGTCAAAGAATAGAGAAACAGAATGAAATCCACAGGTGTTAGAATCTTCAAAACAGAGGATCAATCTTTTTTTATCAATTTGTTTGAGGAACAATTAGGGGAAAAATGAAAAATTATGTGCGACACTATTAAATTCTAGCACTGTAAACAGAAATAAACAGTTCCTAACAAAATATAGGAGACTTCAGCACACTACTTTCAATGAATAATAAAAAGAAACTAAAGATACAGGAGATCTACATTAACACAATTTATCCGACTTCACAGACATATACAGAACATTCTACCCAGCAGCAACACAATATCCACTCTTCTCCAATACACATTCTCAGACATTTTCCAGAACAGATCGTATTTTACACCACAAAGAAAGCCTCAATAAATTCAAGACTTCTGAAATAATACACAGCATCTTCTATGATCATAACACTCCAAGACTGGAAATTAACAGAAAGAATAAGAAGGATAAAATCAATATAAAGAAACTTGCTTTAATATGCTTGAGTAACACGAAATTAAAGATGAAATTTAAAAATTTCTAGAATCAAATAAGCAATAAACAGTTTCCAGAAAATTTATGGTTATTAAAAAAGGGTCAAAGACAATCATTTAACCCTATAATGTGAATAAAGAGTAACATTAAAAAAAAAAAAGCAAACAGTCACCAGAGAAAGGAAAATAATAAAGATTACTGACTATCTCACGGACTGCCAAAAAAGCTAAGAGAGGTATGTCCTGTATGTCCTGGAGAAAGTGCAGCCAGACGCTTCTTGGAGCCAAGAATGGGGATACTTTGGATATGTTGTTAGGAAAGGCTATTCCTTGAAAAGGTAAATTATCCTTGGAAAGGTAGAGGGTCAGCAAGAGAGGAAGACCCTCAACAAGACATACTGACACAGTGATGGCAGCAATGGGCTCAAGTATGTCAGAGGTGATGAAGATAGCACAGGATAGGGCAGGGTTCAGATCAATTGTTCACGGGGACTGTATGAGCTATAGTTGACTTGATGACACCTAACAACAGCAACAAAAGATTGCAGCAGGAACAAGTTAAATAGAAAAATAGAATCAACAAGAACTTGGTTCATTGAAAAGATCAATAAAATAAATAAAAAACACTAAACAGAGTGACAAGAGAGAAAATGAGAAGCTGCAAGTAACTAAAAATAAGAAATGCAATGAGTAATGTTGCAACAGAGATAAAGGATCCTAACAGATTGTAAAAAAAAAGTGTA